ATTTAATTGGTTAGAACTAACAAATCGTAGCTGCTTAAAATCTATAACAAACTAAATCAACTAAAAGTAAAAATTTTTTGGGTGATCGACACTTTGACAATTATTGAAAAAATTAGCACTTAAAGTACTGTTGTTTATAACCGCCTGAATTTTTCCCAGCTACTATTCTACATATTACTCCTTCCTTTCCTTTTTTAACATATACCCTGAGACATACGTGGGGCAAAAATTATGCGTGAAGCACTAAAAAGGTTTCTGATTAAAATTGGCTTTAGCTTTACTGCTTTCGAAATGTTTAAAACGAAGAATTTAACAATTTGCCCCCTCTAGTTTTACCAACGTCAACCTTTTTCAGTCGTCTTGTTTTTCTGGAATGTTCGCTACATCCCACTAACTTTTTTCTCGGTCCACCTCGACAGCTTTTAAGTACTCAAGAAGATTTTAAAAAACATCGTCTACAAAGCGAAAAAAGGCTATACTTTAGGCCATACAAGGCTTGCATAAATCTAATTGAAAAACACTCGATAACAACATTAGCACTCACTCCATTAAATTTTCTGATAAAAGAAAAGCGAATATTGTCGTCTAAAGCAAATTTTTTTCCAAAATAACCTTTTAATCTAAGTGTAACTCAAGAAATACATTAAATTATTGAAGAGATGATTCAAAAAACTGAAATATTACTTTGCGGAGAAACATTGTCGTAACGGCTAATATCCAACTGCAAACTTTCGTCGCTGTCGGATGACCTGAACGATGAAGATACGGAACTAGAAGTCGCACCACTAGCTGCAGCTTTTAAAGTTTCTTCAAGAGCTGCTTTCAGCGGCTTACAGTCAAATGCTACCCGGGAATGACATCGAATCAAATTACGGAATCCCTCAATTTCAATTTCACCATGTTGTCGCAAATAAAGCTGCCCGTCAGTTGGCATTGGCGAACTGTTTGCTGTAGTTTCATTTCTAAAAATCATAATAAGCTTTAAAGTGATTAAAAAAATTTTTAAACATAAAGACCATGCCCAAAGGCTATTCAAAAACGAAGAGAAACCCTGAGTTCAGTCGTCGATGACTTCGAAGATGCGGTTTATCAGGTTCTGTTCGAATACTCGCGCTGCTTTCCGAAGTGCATTCCTGATGGTCACATAGCCGTTTCAACTCAGCAGACTATAAAAAAAGAGTTTTGAAACGTTCTGGTATAATAAAAAAAAGACGTTTTGTTAACGAAATTGGTTATACCGTCGAAGGAGTAGCGTCGAAATTCACAACTGTGTTGACGTGCTGTCTTCGAAGCTTACGCGCCGCTGAATCCGCAGTACTCCGGATCACCACCACTTCTTTGTGCGGATTGGCGCTAGTGCTCTGGTTCTTCTTACTACAGTTATTGCGGCCTCGCCAATGTATCACCCCGTTACGAAATTCTTCAACGCTTCTTGTAACAAACGTTATTAACGACGTACTTCTTGACGTTCGTATTTCAGCATCTTCCGGTGATAAGCTCCTGTTAACAAAAAGTTCAGCTCACTTAAAAATTCAGAATTATTGGAATTCCATAAAAAATCGATATTTTGCAAAAAAAAAAGACTGTGAATCTATAAGCTTCCTTATGTACTTCCAAAGTTATAGAACAAAGAATAAGTAAGATCGCTAAACCGTCGCCATTTAACTTCTTCCTCGGTCGGTAATGACTTTTTTGCGTGATTTTCGTCGTAACTTTTCCAGCGATTTTTCAATGTTGAAAATGTATTCTCTGCTGGTGTTAATGTTGCTGCTTTCTTTTTAGTTTTTTCTTTTCCATTTTTTTTCCTGCAAAATAAATATTAATTTGTATTGTAAGAACACGGACCACGATGGAGCCCACTTTTTATCGCCACAGTATTATTTGCAGCACTCCCAAAATTTAATACTTGCAATATTATAACTTAACTTTGTTGCGTAACCTCTAACCTTTTCTCTTCTAACTTTCAAACAACATGCAGTTGATTTTTTTTTCAATTTGAGAACTATCATAAGCGATTTATTGTGTTACTAAACAAAAAATAAACTTCAAAAAATATTTTTTGTCTGCTACCTCATTGGCCGGTCAATTACAGTATGATAGGTTGCCAACGACGATGGACCGCCATTAACATCAATGAACTTTTGATGTTTGAGATCTGGTGAAAGAGTACGAAATTTTTCTACATCTTCGTTGATTAAACGTTCTGAAAACCAAAGTAAAAAGAAGTAGACAATTATTGTATATCACAGCTACTGAAAAATTTTCTGTTGAAAAATTTGCTTGTATTAAATTCAACAGAAAAACTAAAATTTTTAGTCATATTAAGTGGTTGAATTTTTAACCGTAATTAATATGTATTCACCGTTATTTGAAGATAACAGAGGTTCATTTTCAAGAGAAAATAAATAGACAGCATGAAGTATGATATAATTACAGAGACCCGTTTGCACGTTGAGACCTTGCAGTGAATGCACATCGTTACCGTTTGGACATGGGGGAGCTCTGAAACTAGCAACAGAACACTTGATGCCAGATGTTTGATCGGTATTGTGCATCTGTTCCTGCTTAATTTTTTTGGTTGATATAAGCGAAACAAAAATTTTCAAATTTTTTTGAGGGAAAAATATGTGCAAATATATATATTAAAGTGGAGAAATAGAAATTAGATTGGCCACCGTCAAATTACCTGAACAAATTAGGCGCCCAAACGATAGCCAAATTCTTTGAGTTCATATCTGTTAGATGAGCGCAACGAGACAATTTAGCTAAATGTCGAATAAGATACCTGGCAGTCCTGAAAAAAGTCAAACCTTTGTATGATGCATATCGTTCCAGTTAATGAGAAATTCTGCATTTGTCATTAAAACGGGGCAGATTAAAATGTGAGCCAGTTTACCTGTAATGCTCAGAAGGCAACTTTTCGATGACGGTCTTGAATTTGTCCGTCCGGGTTTCGTCCCTTGTCTCGTAGGCAAGCTAAAAGTTTCTTCCTACAGTTATTAGTTAAAACCTTATATACTTTTTAAAAATAAGCGCCAAACTGAGAAGTTTTCTTGATAATTTTTAACTGATCGTCAAATTTTATTGCCAAACTTGGCTGTACTCTGATGCTTTATAGCAAAAAACCTACAATAAACTGAGAATACAACGTGAATGTGAATAACGGATTTGGTAACTGACGAAAATACTGTTTCAACAACGATGACACACAGTGAACGTCACGTAGAATACTTTCGTTGAAAACATCTGATATTAGTCCACAATCAAAAGCATTCCTGCAGTTAAGCGCATTAAGTTTACCTTATATTTAATAACTTCACATCTTTAAAAAAGAATACAAACCTTAGTTTTTGCACATTTGATTGTATTCCACATTGCCGATAAACTCCAGTGACAATGCCGTAACTTTCAATTACTTCGACGCATTTTTTCAGTATAATTGGCACTAAAATAAGAAGGCATATATGTGTTGTTTTGCACTTCATAGCTCATAGTGAAATGTGACAGAATTAAAATTTCTGGAGAAGTACATGTAGCAAAAACAGTTGACTAAACTAACCTTCATTGTTCCCTAACATAGTGACAAATAATTTTTACAAGTCAAAAAGAGAATAGCTAGGTACCAACCGTCGTGACCAGTCTTTTGAAGATACTCTATCAGATCGGTTCCAAAAACTGGTATGATATGTTGCGGAGGATTTCTTTTTAAGAATACCCGAATTAAGGACCGTTCCCTTGGTCTGGAAGCTCTTTTTGCCTTTGTTTTTGGTGTACCATTGTTTAGCTCAGACTTACCGTCAAACAGTTGTGCACAATCACTGGGAAATAAGCCTACCTGAAAATACTTTCAAGTCAGTCGTCAACAACAGGTGACGTTATAACGACTAAAAAATGGGAAAAAACTTTAGTGTAGTAAAAGAAGTGGAGTTCTTTTAAGAATCTAAAGACTGGTAACGGAAACAATTATTTTTTCTTGGTTTCACTAAAACAGAGAAAAAAGACTTCAATATTTAAAACAAGGTGATTTTTTAAGAAACTATTGTTTCATTTAAAAAGTTTTTGATATTCTTTCGCAGTTGTCCAAAGCCTCTCTTTAAAACGTAATAATGCTGATCTGCCAGATACAGTAAAAGACAAATAAGTTTAGCAAAGTGTTACAGCTAGCAAATGAATCATCCATTCCTATGACACTAATCATGTGGTATTATGCAGCAAAATCTACTCCAAAAAAAAGAAGTAGGAAAAAACAGGCACTTTATATCTTGAGTCTATATCAGTGCTGTTATCGACACTGTTCGTAATAGTTAACTTTGCTTTCCACCAACATATACCATCACTTCGTGGCGGGTATTTCTGAATTACTGAAACGATATCGCCGATCTAAAGCAGGTTTGCAAATTTCATAAATGCAGTAAAATTAATTTTTTTTTAAATGAAGATGATTAAACAAGACAAAAAAAAAATTATTGTTTGTTTATACAGAACATCTACTTGCATAGTTTGTACTCGCCGGGTTTGTTAGAAAAAATTTCTTGAACAGCTTCATTAATTTGATGATCTTTCTCCTTGAATTATCTGTATGTTTGATTAAGCCAAAACTGCCTTTATGACAACTATTTGTTTGAAAAAATTTTTCTAGAGTACTAACCTTTAATGAAATTTCACTACTGTTTCGCGCTGTATAATCTTTGGTAACAATAGCGGTGGCAATTGCTGGCGTATTAATTGCCGTTTCTTCGGCCGGTAAGAAGCGATTTCCTTTGCTGTCTACCTAAAAGCCGATTATGTAATTATTTGTTTACAAGAAAAAATTGTCTCTTACAGATACTTTTTTTTCGATTTTAGTGAGTAAGCATTAATTTCAGTAGTGTATAAAAATAAAAACGTAGCTTTTAACAGACAACGAAGGAAAAAAGTTATGAATAATTTATACAATGAAAAACAGCAAAATAGGCATAACTAGTACAGATAAAAATAGTCTAACTATTCATCATTAATATGACAACTTTATAAAAACCTTACCTTTTTTTGTACTACTGAATTTTACGCACCTATCAAAAAGTTAATTTTAGCAGCTTAATAGCAGTTTTAAATGAGTTTACAAATGTTTTTTCTTTTTTCTAGATGTCACTTTTACCTCTTTTAACTGTTTTTTAGTGATAAAACATGTACAATAATGAGAAATATTTTTTTTTTTGCTGTTGTTGAACATTTGAAACTGCTAGCTCGCCGCTTTCTTTGCCCACTTGTAAAATCCCATTTGTAAAATTAAAATCATCTAAAATTAAGCACCACATCTATAATATCTATTGCTTTTGACAAGCATAGATTGTATGTAACTTGTCACTGTAATGAAAAAAAGCAAAGAGTCTTAAAGATCATTACTGAAAAAAGATTTTGCAGTTTCATTGTCGTTTCGAATAAACCCAAATTAATTTTTCTTTTTATGTTGCACAGTCCACTGAACTACAGTAGCATAAAGAAAAAATCTTTTAGAAACCTCTAGAAATCGTAGAACTGGAAAACATTTGATCAGACTACCAGTTAACTGTGAAACGCGTTGCAGGTATTTCTCTACCAGTGACAACAAATTTTCTTCGTTAACTGTAACTTCACTGAGTTCACACAGTTTACTGTGATTTCTATCAAAAACACAACGATGCAGCTGGCAATCAAATTCGCATAATTGACTGAATGTTCGATGGACGGTCCTGAAATAGATAAACGAATATTTTTTTGCACAAAAATAGCAAGCTAAGCATGCTTAGCTACAACAAAAAAAAAAAAAAACCAAACGTAAAAACTCAAATAGTTTAAGGTTTAAAAAATATATTTCAACATAAAACCTGCCTAAGGTATAGTTGCATAGCTAAAATCGACAAGAAAGATCACTTTAAACAGATTAAATCTCTCAATTTGGAAATTAATAACCAAAACTTTATATATGCCAAATCTATTTATAAAATATCAAATAACTCATTCAAACTTTAAAATATTTAACAATAAAAAAATAGTTTTAGCACAAGAAGGTAAGTATTTATAAACATTTAATTCCGTTACAAAAAAAATTGAAATATTAATGAAAAACTCTGAAAAACACTTAAAAAACTGTAAAGTTTAAAAATCAAAAAAACCAAAAAATCATAAAATTGAAAAGAAAGGTCAAAATTCTCAGGTAATTTTAGTTTTCTCTTTTCTCTTCGATCTATTTATGAAACAGGAATTTTTTGCACCAAAAATAAATTTTTCTTCTTGCGAGAAGAAATGGCTGAAAAAAGAAAATCATTAATATAACTTAGAGAAAATTTTTTTGTTTGTGTTTGAAGAAACAGATAACACGACAAAACTTATTCTTTTAACAAAAACAGAAAAAACTTTCTTACCTTACCTAATCTAAGCGTTTTTTTTTTTGGTAAAAAAAGAAAAAAAAGATGAAGAACGATGAAGGAAAGTTCAGGTTTGGACAAAACGTCCTTTTTTCATTGTTTAATGCTTCTCCCAAAACGGCATTGATACCAAAACAACGCAAAAAAAAAGAAAAGTAGAAGCTCCGTTTTTTCTATTTATCTAACCTCTTGAATTTTTTTTCAATCTAACAACAATTCATTAAAATTTCAGAAGCAGTTAACTGTCAAAACTGTATCGTCAAAAAAAACAAAGTGCTAAAAACGTTGAACGGTGGTAGCTAAGAAGCTATTCTTCGGCTGTACAAAAGTTGTCTGACTTAGGCTTTTTGCACTAACACTTATCTAAGTCTGTCAAGTACCTTAACAACTCGAAAGCCCTATTGTCTGTCGAGAGCATTTTTCACCCATAATGATCAGATACGCTACTTTAAAAAATGCAAAATTTAATTCTCAGTAAACCACTGTAACTAAATAGCCAAAAAAATTAGACAAATCTATAGGTAAAGCAAACAACAGTAATCCCTAAAACTTATCCATTAAACTTCCAGCATTTAACTGAAATATTAAGCCAAAAATGTTCATAATCCTAACTACAGTCATCCTTCTCAGTTATTTTTCTTTCTTGTTGAGTTTAAATTGAAAAATTGAAAGTTTTTTTCAAAACAAAACCGATAAGTTTAGTTATAAAACACTTTTAAACTTACCATTTGGTATTGTTACTTTCAACTTCAATAGCTAACTGTCCTTCGCCAGCCACATATTTTGCAGATAATAGCCGAACGCCAACAGGGCCTAGTTCAACGTTTTTATAATGAAAGTGTGATTGTTCAGCAAGTTTCTTGATGCTAAAATAAACTTTTTTTTTTTTTGAACTATAATTAGATTACTTTTTTAACGCTACTAAACAATCATCTTGAAATTCTTTCTTTTTAAACTGATATAATAAAAAATGTATAAAGATGATGTAAACCAGACTAAAAAGAAAAAAGTAAATTTTTGAAAATTTTGAAAAATTGATTAAAAAGAGCATTTGCTTTTTCTGTATCAAACACTTCAATTTATTTGCATATAGCGGCAATTTGATTAGTGCTTATTCAGGCTACAAAAGACGACCAGGTCTACCTAAACTTTTTGCCCAAAATTCTTAAGAATGTTTATTGGCTGTAACGACGATGCACCTTTAGACCGATGTATCTTAATTCATATCGAGAAAGAACAGATAGTAAGAAAAGCAACAACAATTATATTTTCTAAATTTTTTATAAATTCCATAACAATTCTTATGCATTATCTTCTCTTCTTGACTACAAATCAAACTTCTTCTGCTTTTAACCGCTACTGTAAACTTAAAAAACAACAATTATGATAAGCTGTCTGAGTTACCGAGTTACAGCCTTAACCAGCACACACAACCGGCTATTGACTGCAAACTTTACATGATAAGAAAAAAGGATAACAAAATAAAGTTGAATAATTTTCTAATGAATATCTCTAAAGTAGAAAATAAACGTGGAAAAAAACTACAATGTCTGCAATTTTCCCAACAAATATAGTGTGTGTCAGCTTTTTGTACCAACTAATAGTTAAATATTTGTTTCAGACACAACAATCACCTTGATATTTCATCTAATTTAAAAGTTCAACTGTTAGTTCGTGTTTTTCAGTAATTTTCAATATACATTATCTTACAATGACAATTAGACACTATAGTAAGCGTTAAAAATTTTGTGGCAATAGTGTTGCATGTAACTGGAATATCCAGTATAACAAAAAGAAAAACTCATGAAAAAAAGCGTTTTAGCATCTATTGTTTTGAGAATCAAAAATTTATAGAAACTTTAGTACAAGTAAAGAGAAAAGTTCATCCGTTTTACCTCGAGCAACATTTTCCCTTTCAGTCTTACCCCTTCCCTTTTCTCTCCTTCCCTCTACTTTTCCTGTTTTTTCTCTAGCTCACAAATTTTTTGCCTTCACTGTTGTTGCTCTCATCAGTAGTTTACAAAAAACCTTCCAGAAAAACTCTACAGATAATAGTCTGGAAATAACAAAGCTCCAAGAAGATTCAACTTTAAACGTTTATGTAAAACCAGTGCTTAATGTACTTTTAGGATTAAAAACTAGTCAATTTTCACTTGTTTCCAGTTACACGTTAATTTAAGAAAAATCTTTTGCAAACAAAAAGATTAAACTGGTATTCAAAAAGTGCAAAAATTATTTGGATTCAAAAGAATCAGCAAAAAAAAAAAATTATCGTCAAAAAACTTGATGACCTTTGTTAATTAAATCATTTCAGTCTGCTGCAAATTAGCAGCTGAAGTGCGACAGCAGAAACCAAAACTGATTTCACAATCTAGAGGAAACAGCACTACAGTTAGAACAAATAATCTAAAACTTCGTTACTAAATTTCTTTAAATTTTATTGCAACAAGATAAAAATATTTATTTATGCAAGAATTATATATAGGCCATTTCACGCTAAGTGGCATACTTTTTTACCTAATATCTCAAAATTTTTTTGATTTTGTTAAATGATAGAATTCAGATCTCAATTTAAGAAATTGAATGACAAGCATGAAAAACCAAATTCCGCATTAAGTTATGCTCTGCCAAGCTGCAAAATTTGTCAAATTTCGGCTTTACAAACCTGTTCTTCCAAACCCCCAGCTCCGGTAAACCTTTAAACAGAAAGTAAAGTGTTAGAGTTTGTTGGTACTTCATATGTCTTCTGCTTTCGAGTAAACGTTAAACCATAGCTTAATGCCTTTAAACAGTTGAA